TTTGATTAGTAATATGCATTGCTAAGAACGAACTTCATTCAACTTTAAAGATTATTTTCTCAATATTTAGATTTTTTTGCACCCTCAGATTCCAGATTTTCACATATTGTCCTATCCTAACAATCCATACATCAATGGAAAGCATATTTATTCAGCTTTCAGGTGATAAATAAATCTCAATTTCAAAAAATTGACCCTTATGACTGGTTTTGTGCTCCAGGGTCACAATTGTGAAATTGATCAATATTGCGTTTAAAAGGTAACACAATATTAGTTTCTTGTTTTTTGTTGTATAAAATCACATTTGCAATCGTGAAACAGCTTTTTCAGCAGCAAAGCAGTTCTACAGAAGACAGTAGTGTCACTATGTGTTGATGATGATCATGTTCTGTGTTCTCTCAGCTGGAGAACCTCATGCTGGATAAAGACGGACATATGAAGATCACAGACTTTGGTCTCTGTAAGGAGGGAATCACAGATGAGGCCACCATGAGAACGTTCTGTGGAACCCCAGAATACCTTGCGCCGGAGGTACTCAACAACACACACGCTCAGGGCCTCACGATGATAGTTCACCCAAACATTAAAATCCTGTCATCATTTACTCACCCTCATGTTTTATTAACATTAAAGGAATAATTCGCCCAAAAATAAAAATTCTGTCATAGTGTTTTATTTTGATACCATAATATACTCACTCAAAAGTTGTTTTAAACCTGAACGAGTTTCTTTCTTCTGCTGAACATAAATGCTATTTTGAAGAACGTGGAAAACCAAACAGTTGCTGGTCCCCATTGGCTTCCATAGTATTTTTTTTCCTGCTATCAAATTTAATGTTGGACCAGCAACTGTTTGTTTACCCACATTCTCCAAAATATCATCTCTTGTGTTCAGCACAAGAAAGAAATTAATACAGGTTTGGGCCAGCATGTAAGTAAATAATAACAGAAAATAATTTTAGGGTGAACCATCCCAAAGACAGTCGGCAGCATGTTTAGTACTGTC